TATCTTTTAATATGTTAGCATAGTCAATTTCCTAACATAATATCCTAATATTGAACCATCTTAGAATTTATTGAGTTTCAACTTTAGGGTTAACTTACCCTTACAAGAGTAAACTAAGAAACTCCTTTTTACTCCTTGTTACTTTTTTTTTTTTTTTTAATTTATTTTTGGGACAGAGAGAGACAGAGCATGAATGGGGGAGGGGCAGAGAGAGAGGGAGACACAGAATCGGAAACAGGCTCCAGGCTCCGAGCCATCAGCCCAGAGCCTGACGCGGGGCTCGAACTCACGGACCGGGAGATCGTGACCTGGCTGAAGTCGGACGCTTAACCGACTGCGCCACCCAGGCGCCCCAGCTCCTTGTTACTTTAAATAACATTGAGAGTGATCTGTTCATTGAAGGCTTCATAGGATTTTCTCAGAACACTAAGTGAGCCTTGTGCCCTTTGGTGGAGTGGTATGATCTTTTATCACCTTTTCAATTTCTACTCTGATGAGTCCTTTCTTTCTTTTTATTTTATTTTTAAAGATTTTATTTTTAAGTAATCTCTACATCCAATGTGGGGTTTGAACTCAACCCCAAGATCAAGAGTCACATGCTCCACTGACTGAGCCAACCACGTGCCCCATGATGAGCCTTTTCAATTTTTCTTTCTCTTGACTTAGATTAGTTAATATGGTTCAGACTTACAAAGTTGTATGTGGCATTCCTAATGTTATTCATATTATATATTCTTTATAAAACTTGGAAAGGTATATTTCATGGTTTCTCCATCTTACTGGTAAGAATTCATCTGAAGCATTTGTTAAAAATACAGATTCCCAAACCTTCCTTAGAGATTTCCCCTAGAGATTCAGTAAATCTAGAATGGGAACTGAGATCTATACTTCCAACAAGATCCCAACAGGATCCCATTTCTTATCAGTAAGTTTGGAAATTCTGATCTGTTTTATTGGTTTTTAAATTCCTTCTACCATTGCCCCCCACCCCCAATGGACCCTCAGCTCTGGAATTGAGTGCTGAGCTCATTTATTGCCATTCTTTCTTATATTCGTGGATACTTGTTAGGCTTTGTCCAATAGCCTTTGATACAAGTGTTTTCATTGCCATTAATTTCCCTAAAGTCTGTAATTTCATTATTTCCTCTTTAACTCAATAATTATTTAGTTTATCTTCTAAGCATATTGATTGTGAATTGGGGGAGAGTACTATCATTTTTATGGACATAAAAGTATCCGTTTTCTGGGGCATCTGGGTGGCTTAGTGAGTTAAGTGTCTGACTCTTGATCTCACCTCAGGTCGTGGTCTCACAATTTGTGAGATTGAGACCCACATTGGGCTCTGTACTGACAGCTTGGAGCTTGCTTAGGATTCTCTCTCTCTTTCTCTCTCTCTCTCTCTATCTCTGTCCATCCCTAGCTTGCACATGCATGCATTCTCTCTCTCTCTCTCTCAAAATAAATAAACATTTAAAAAGAAAGTTACCAGTTTCCTCACCAGTAAAGTGGAGATAATGCTGGTATCTGTCTCAGCATAGTTCTGTGAAGATTATTACATAAGATAACCCTTAAAAAGTGTTTAACAGATTCTGCCAGACTTTCAGTAAACATTTTAATAAGTTGTATTTTGTATTGCTTGTTTCTAGTTTTATTGCATTGTAATTAGAATGTGGCCTCCTTATTATATAATTGAGGATTTTCCTTTGGTCTTTTATATTGGTTTTCTAAAAATTCTCAGCGTGTTTGGATGGAATATGTATATAGTAGAAACTCAAAGCTACCTCTCTGTAATTTAAGTCAGATGTATTGTGTTATTAAATTTTTCATATAGTTAATATTTCTACTGATGCTCTTTAATCTGCATAGTTTTGGGAGAGGTATGTTCAGTTCATTTCTTCCTCTGTGATTTGTCTTTAATTTATTGATTCAACAAATATTTACTGTGTTCGTATGCAAAGCATTTCTAACAGTTGGGAAATGCAAGAGTGACAAAGTTTTTGTACCATTCTGAACTTAAAGAAATGAAAACAAATAAAATGATTTCAGAACATGAGAAATAAAGCAGGTTAGGGTGTGGTGGAAACAACAGTAAATAAGGTACTCAAGCACTGCCTCAAGTACATTCTGAAGTTATAATCGGGCATGCACTCTAAATGATAAGAAGCCAGTCATGAGATATTAGGAGGCCACAGGAACAGCAAGTGCACATCCCTTAAGTGGGAAGGAGTTTGCTATTCAGGGAACAGAAGGAAGGCCATCGTGAGAAGTCAGGCATAACTGTGGAGCAGATTAACGTAGTCATTGTCATAGGCTGTGGTAAAAGAGTTTGGAATTTATTCTGGTGGTAATGGGAATCCACTGATGTGTTTAATTAGGGGAATGAAAAAATCTTATATGTTGTGAAAAAGATTACTCTGAGCCATCATTTGGAGAATAGCTTGTAGCTGGACATGAGAAAAAGCAGCAGACTAAAATTAGGAGGCTGTTGATAGTAGTAAAAGCAAGAAACGATGGACCAGAAGGTAGTGGTACAGATGGAGAGAAGAGCTGAGAGCACTCACCTGCTGTTGAATTATTGTAGGAGAGGAGTTTTTGCCTTGAACAACTGAACAGTGCTCTTTAATATCTCATTTTATTCCTCTCTAACAGTTCGTTTTTGTGTGCTGTGTTTTAGTATGCAAAAGATTTATGACTTTTTTCTTGGACTGGATTATCTTATCTCAGTTATTCCTCTTTTCCCATTTAGTGTTATTTTGCTTTGAAAAGACTGCTGCTAACTAAGCTTTTTTGTTTTTGGAAATTAATTTCTGCACTATTGAAGAGTAAATATTAAATGAGGTAATTATTTAAGTGAGCAGTATATAGGAGACACCAGAAGTTAGCCTCTCTATGCACATTCTTTTTTCATTTCACTGTGTTATCTAATAGTATTTGGCTGGGGCGCCTGGGTGGCGCAGTCGGTTAAGCGTCCGACTTCAGCCAGGTCACGATCTCGCGGTCCGGGAGTTCGAGCCCCGCGTCAGGCCCTGGGCTGATGGCTCAGAGCCTGGAGCCTGTTTCTGATTCTGTGTCTCCCTCTCTCTCTGCCCCTCCCCCGTTCATGCTCTGTCTCTCTCTGTCCCAAAAATAAATAAACGTTGAAAAAAAAAAATTTAATAGTATTTGGTACAGGGTAACTGTAAATACTTTATTTCTTTTATGTGTTTTTTTTCCCCAAAGCCATTCTCTTCCTCATATTTAGACAGTACTTGACTCATTCTCTTATTATTTTGTGCTTACCATTCAATTCCTTTTAATAGTACACTTTCCACTATTTAAGTCTTCCCTCTGAAGATGCCATTACCTTTAATTAGGTCTCCCTTCCCCATTTCAATTAGAACGTTATGTGGAATTTTCTAATACGTTTTACTCAATGATCTATGTCTCTTTCCAGTTTTAATTTGACTTCACTTTAATAGTGACACATAATTGAAATGCTTTGATCACATTTAAAATGAACATTAAGGGGCTCCTTGCTGGCTCAGTCGGTTAAGCATCCGACTTTGGCTCAGGTCATGATCTCATGTTTTGTGGGTTTGACCCCTATGTCAGGCCCTGTGCTGACAGCTCAGAGCCTGGAGCCTGCTTCAAATTCTGTGTCTCCGTGTCTCTCTGTCCCTCCCATGCTTGCATGTGCTCACTCGCTCGCTCTCAAAAATAAATAAAAACATAGATAAAAAAATTTTTTAATGAACATTAAGAGGGTGCCTGGGTGGCTCAGTTGGTTAAGTGTCTGACTTCAGCTCAGGTCATGATCTCATAGTTCGTGAGTTTGAGCCCCGTGTCGGGCTGTGTGCTGACAGCTCAGAGCCTGGAGCCTGCTTCAAAATCTGTGTCTCCCTCTGTCTCTGTTCCTTCCTCACTTGCACTGTCTCTAACATTAATAAAACAACCAAAAAATTTTAAAATGAGCATTAAATTGTATTAGTGGATCCCAGTAGTGAGTCATTTCTTTAGAAGGTGTAGAATGAATTTCTGTATCTTCTGGCAGTCCACTGTAGTACTATCTAAATGCCACTATTTCCCCCCATTGACATTTTTGATATTAGCCACCATTTGCATAGGAGAAGGAGATTGAAAGGGATCTTTAAAAGTTTTTATATATAGGGGCACCTGGGTGGCTCAGTCGGTTAAGTTCTGACTCTGGCTCAGGTCATGATCTTGCAGTTTGTGAGTTTGAGCCCCACGTCAGGCTCTGTGCTGTCCGCGCGGAGCCTGGAACCTGCTTCGGATTCTGTGTCTCCTTCTCTCTCTGCCCCTCCCCCACTTGTGCTCTGTCTCTATCAAAAATAAATAAATGTAAAAATTTTTTTTTAAGTTTTTTATATAAACCGTGCAGATTTTCAGAATTGATCATTTGGAAAAAAAAAAAAATGTTATCCTCATACTGGTTTTTCTTTTCCTTAAGTTAAAGTTATTAGTGTGTGCATATACAGTTTACCCTTGAACAGTAAGGATTGGAACACCAACATCACCCCCCCACAATTGAATTATTTTGTATAACTTTGGACTCCATCCCCCTCCCTGCCGCCAGGTTTTAACTACTAATTGCCTATTGTTGACTGAAGCCTTACTAGTAACATAGTCAATTAACACATATTTTGTAGATCTGTTATATACTGTCTTCTTACCATACAGTAAGCTAGAGAAAATGTTAAGAAAACCAGAGAAGGAAAAAATACATTTACAGGTTTGTACTGTTTTTATTGGAAAAAATCTACATATAAGTGGACCTGTGAAGTTCAAACCTGTGTTGTTCAAGGGTCAACTGTATTCTTAAATTTTTATTATTTATATATTCATCCCTAAATATGAGCAAGAAAAAATATAATCTGCCTTACTTATTTTCATCAGTATCTGATACATTACTCACCGTCAGTTAGGTACTGAATCAGTGTAACTGGTGAGTTGTTTGCTTTGTCATTTCCTGATAGTTCGTCTTATTGATTTTCTCTTTTCAGTTAATGGAGAATCATCCTCATCTGCACCAACTGATAACGCTTCCACTATGGATACTGTAATAGTATCTGAAGAAACCGCCTTGTCTTCAAATTGCACTAATACTACTGTTGAAGATCCTCCAGTTCAAGAAATAATGACTTCCTCAGAAAACAATGAATGTATTCTCTCTACTAGTGCAGCATTTGGAGCTGAAGCTAGAAGTACTTTAGACCCTGCCACCTCTAATTCTGGAAGTAGTTCTGCTTTTGAGGCAGCCAAATTAAGACAGCCAGATGGCTGTGTGGAACCTGTACGGCAACAGTCTGGAAATGCCAACACAGAAACCTTGCCATCAGGGTATGTTAAATATATTTTTTAGAAGTTTGACTTAATTTGAATAGCAACTTTTTGATAATACGACTCTTGAATGTGTATGTAAAATTTTTCAGTTGTTTAGTAATTTGAAATTTAAGCTGGAATCTGATGGATACAATTTGTGTATTTGCCACAGTACTTTTTAAAACTAAGAATGCTCACTTATGAAATATGTGCATTATAAAGGGAAAAGAAAAAACCTGGGGTTAGTTTGCAGGACACTCTTGATTTGATTCTTGGTTTATTTTTACTTTTAGATAAGAATGATCATAACACTATGTAATTACCTCAGTTTTCCAGCTTCCTTTATGGTCTGCTCCCCAGGCCCCAACATAGGCCATCCTTTTTCTTCGTATTGAGTGCTGGGGAAAGTCACTTAACCCTGCTGATTAGCTCTGTTACAAACTCAGGTTTTCATTGCTGCTTAATAATTCTTAGTCTCTTTTAAATTTCCCATTGCAATTATTCAGCTTCCCAAGATTTCCTTTAAAGAGTATTCCGTGTGTGTGCTCCATTTGGTCACCTATTCCAGCTTTACTTAACATGTTTTTTTGATTCTTTTCTTGGTTCTGATGATACTAATATTACTGAGTCTTTCTTGGTCTCCGACTTCAAAAAGCTTATTTATAGTGGCTCAGACTTGTAAACATATATGCAGTACAATTTGACAACACTGTACTAGAAGTATGGACATAGCACTTTCCTACCCAGCTTACAGCAGTTAGAATGTCTTCTCTTAGAGATATTGAAACTGCACTTCTAGAAGGTCTTATTGCCCTCATTTTGTCACCAGTCACTGTGTTCACAGCCCTGTCTTATTTTCTGAACTGTTTTTCTCAGTGCTCTCTACTGGCTCATCTGATTTTGGTCACTGCCTAATTGTGGTTTCAGACTTCGGTCTTCTGCCTGTGCTTCTTCCTCTTTTGGATCTCACACTGTCCCAACTTTATTAAATCTGTATGTCCAGGCCAGACCTTGCTCTGAGCTTATTTTCAGCTACTTACTTACAATCCCATCTTGTTTCCTGCCAGCATTTCAGACTGTACAGTATCTTCCTTCTCTCTCAGAAATTTCTCATTGTCCCTTTGTTTTCTATCTTTGGCAGCCTAGTCACTTATCCTCATTTCATATGTCTGCCACTGTGATATATACATGTAAGAAGCTGTTCTATTGGGGCGCCTGGGTGGCGCAGTCGGTTAGGCGTCCGACTTCAGCCAGGTCACGATCTCGCGGTCCGTGAGTTCAAGCCCCGCGTCGGGCTCTGGGCTGATGGCTCAGAGCCTGGAGCCTGTTTCCGATTCTGTGTCTCCCTCTCTCTCTGCCCCTCCCCCGTTCATGCTCTGTCTCTCTCTGTCCCAAAAATAAATAAAAAAATAAAAATAAAAATAAAAAAATAAAATAAAAAAAAAAAGCTGTTCTATTAACCTCATGGTCTGATAGGAGGATAAAGATAAGTAAACAGCAACTATACAGTACAGTTAAAGCCGGGCTAGAGGTAAGTTTAGCAGGCTGTGGGTGGGAATATATACAGAGAGAGCTTGCAAGGGAGTAGCTTACACTTTTGAGATCAAAGAAAACTTTTAGGAAGAGATGACCCTTAAGTGGATTCCTGAAAGAGGAGTAGGAGTTAGCACAGCAATAATGGAGGCACCGATAATGGAAGGCTGACTGCATGTTCAGATCTCTAGCATTTACAAAAACATGTAAGTGAAGCTCTGGAAGTAGTATTTTGTTACAGTTTGAGTTCAGCATTTGAGGAAGTGACCTGTGTAGCACTGAAGAGTGAATAATCCTATGAAGAATTTTGTTTACTTTTCTAAGAGTGTGGGAGTTTTTCCTTGAAAACTGTGGATAAACAATGGATTTTGAGCAGGGGAGTGGCAGAGTTAGGTTTGCATTTTAGTTAGGTTCTTAATTCTAGCAGTGGTATAGATAGATTAGGAGTTAAGGAGACAATTGGGGTGCCTGGGTGGCTCATTCTTTTGAGCATCTGATTCTTGGTTTCAGCTCAGGTCATGATCCCAGGGTCATGGGATTAGCCTCGCATCTGGCTGAGCATGGATTGTGCTTTGGATTCTCTCTGCCTCCTCCTCACACATGCATGCACTCTATCAAACAAAAAAAAAAAAAAAAAAAAAAAAAAGAGTTGAGACAAGTAAGTAAAGATAGCAGCCAGACTTTTTTATAAATGAGAGAAGCAGGGGGGGTACCTGGGTGGCTCAGTCGGTTGAGCGTCCGACTTCGGCTCAGATCATGATCTCACACTCCGTGAGTTCAAGCCCCATGTCGGGATCTGTGCTGACAGCTCAGAGCCTGGAGCCTGCTTCAGATTCTGTGTCTTCCTATCTCTCTGCCCCTCCCCCACTCATGCGCTGTCTCTCTGTCAAAAATAAACAAACATTAAAAAATTAAAAAAAAAAAATAAATGAGAGAAGCAGGCATTATGATTTAAAGTGATAATAAGTATATATATTTAATTTTGTGGGGGCCAAATAAATGCTTCAGCATGTCTATAGCTATCATGTGATCTTTGTGGTAACCTATGTGATTTTCAAATTGCAGGTTGCAACCCATTAGATTATGATCAGCATTTGAACACATAATTTAAGTAAATCAATATAGACAAGAACAGAAAATACTGAAAAAGTATTAGGTGTAGTAAGAGTAAACATTTCCAGAAAGTTTATTTTTCTGGTGTGTGTTTGTGTGTATAAAATCTGTAGGGAAATAGCAATCTAGTCCACACAGATGTTCATGTAAAACATATTTCTTACTCTGTTAGCTGTCATCAGAAAAGTTTAGAAGTTATTAATCCAGGTGAGAAATTAAAAGAGTCTGCAGTAAGAGATGCTAGTCTCTTAGGGTGATGATAAGATGTGTCCTTGTAATTAGTTGTAAGGAGGTAGAAGAAAAGAAGAGTGGAACCAAGGTTGATTCCTCTGGCTTAGGCAGTATTCTTTGTGTAACTGAGTTAGCAGTTTTCAAAACTACATCGTTTCTCTTTCCTCAAAAATCTTAGTTCCTGTGTTTCCTCTCTTTGGTAACTTGCTCAGTAATTCAGATAACTACCAGTGGAATCAGAGTGCCTGGAATCACGAGTGTTCTCAAGGAACAGTGTTCCATCCTGGAGATGAATTTTGAGTGTTATGCCAAGCATGATCTCACCCAAAGGCCTTTGCATTTGCCCAAACTTTTGTGTGGAGTGTTACACCTCTGATATCTGCACGATTCATCCAGGTCTCTGCTCAAATGTTACCTCATTACAGGGGCCTTTCCTGATTTTCTCTGTTTAAATCAGGTCCCTCTGCACCCATCCCTTTACTTTGCCTTATTTTTTCCTAACCTTTTCTTAGGAAAATTTATAAACATGCAGAAAACTTCAAATAATTTTTCAGTGAACATCCCAATGTCTACCACTGCATTCTGTAATTTACATTTTACCCTATTTGCTTTATCTCCTGTCTCTGCCTCTCTCTATCCATCTAATTTTTAAATGTAATTCAATAAGTTGCAGACATCAGTACATTTAGTTCCCTCAGTACTTTCGCTTGTATGTCATTAACTGGAGTTCAATATTTGTGTAAAGTTTTTTAGGTAAAGTTTACATAGAAGGACATGCCCAAGTCTTAACCATACTATTTTGATGGGTTTCAACAAACACATACATCGGTTAACCCAAACCCTTACTAAGATTTCAGATATTACCATTATCCCAGAAAGTTCTCTACAGTACCTTTTTCAGTCAATCACCGTTCTGATTTTTTTTTCCACTATAGGTTTTAGTTTTTCCTGTTACAGAATTAATATAAATGAAATCAGTGTGAACGCTTTGGAGTAGGGTTCTTCTATTCAGCATAACTTGTGTTATGTTAATCACCACATGACACATATTTGTTTGTTGTCAATTTTCTTTCCACAAGACTAGAAAGGGCTTAAGTTTGTCCGTTTTGGTATTCTTTGTACCCAAAACCATCCCTGCTATGTAGCAGGTACTTGATAAATACTTGTTAAATAAGTGAGTTAGTGCTTGATTAAATGATTTTGAGTGAGTGAACAATTGGGCAAAAGCCCTGGCTTGTAAATGCTTCTGAGGAAGTGATTAACAAGGTCAAAAACTACTGAAAAATTCAAGTAAGATAAGAACTGAAAGTCACCAATTGAATGTAACTACAAAGAGATTATTTATTGTTGACCTTTGACAAGCAGTTTCTGAGAAATAGAGCTGCATTCAGAGTGCTGTGTGATGGAGTGAATGGGAGGGGTAGAAGTGTGTAGTAAACTTTTAAGGAGTAAGAGCTAGTGGACACAGAGAAAGAGGAATGTTTGGGGGAAATTTCAGGAAAAGATACAGAGCTGAGGATCAGTTTTTCTTTCATAAAAGGAGAGAGACTTTAAAGTAGTGAGCTTCTGATGGGTAGGAGTTTGTGGACATAGGTTAGCAGTAGAGGAGAGAGGTAACCATTCTTCATGGTTTATGAGTAGGCAAGTCTTACTGTCTACCCCATTATCCAAGTTTGAAATCAGCAGTTATTCAAGAAGTAACTAAATTCTCTTATTCTTATTGTAATATATTTCACAAAATTCTTCCACATTTACTTATTGTTTTAAAGCAAGTTCCTTGTTCAGTGGTAGGTTTGGAAATTTTATATACAATGTCTTAGTGAGACTATATCTAAATACTAGAAAGGAGAGTATTATGGTTGGGTGAAGTGTGGCATTTATAAATTAGCACCTAAATCTGTGAAATTAAAGAATTCTATTGAGAAGTCTTATTCAGCCAGGTAATTTGCACTTACTGGGAAGTATTCATGAATTTTCACTACTGGGATGTTCTGATCTCTTGCCAATTCCAGCCCACCACTTGTATATGACCCACAGGCACAGCTCTAGCAGGCTGTCACTGTGAGTCACCCAGACCAATCCAGAATATCGCCCTTTGCTCTGTACCATCCTTTCTCCCCACCAGTACCTTCTTCTGTCCTTGCTGCCCAATGCCTTAGTCACCACCTACACATTGGGGACTCACTTGTGACAACTGCCATGCCCCAAGAGGTAGAATCTCACTTTGGAGTGACAGCTCAGCAAGTTGCCTCCCCTTGGACTGGCTGCTAGGAAAATGAGGTGGGGCCACGACAGGAGTTTTTGCTCTTATTATGTAAGTACTTACAAATATTATTGACTTTGCCTTTTCACCCACAAAGCCTAAAATATTTACTCTCTGGCACTTTACAGAAAAAATTTAAGAAAGGTAAATTCTGTTAAGACCAAAAACACTGAAATCTGGAAGTGAACCCGTTTTGTAAAAATTAAGAACCAGTGGCTAGCATTATGCTTGGAACGTGAGTGCTTACTGAGTATTTGTTGAGTGTTAAGTTGGGAATATTTGCAGTTTATCTGAGATAAACCTAGAAAAGGACTTTGTAACCCATTATATAGATGGAATACTTGGTTATGTTTATTTTTTCCCTCAATCTTAAAATTTGTTTCTGATCACAAAGCTAAGACATGAGCAAATAAAATACTTAAGTCATACAGAAACACTCAGAGAGTGGTGTCTATATTTTATTCCGGCAGTAAATATTTGAGAGCTTCTCTGTATCAGACTTTATTCCAGGCCTGGGATATTCAGAGGGCCAAGAGAGCCTAAGACTCTGCTGCTGTGAAGGGTGTGTAACAGCAGGCTGAGCAGCTGGGGCCTTGCATACATAACCTACTCAGTAATGTCATATAGTGACAGATTCTATGAGGAAAGATAGAAGTAGGTGAAGAGGTTAGAGAGTAACTGTGTAAATTACTGTTTTGCATACATTTATAGAATTACTTTAAGAAACTGGTATCACATTCTACATGGTGTTTTTCAGTTGGTTTTTATTTATTTTTTCAAGCTTTCATTTTAATTCCAGTTAGTTAACATACAATATTAGTTTCAGAAAGATTTTTTTTTTAAGTCTATTTATTTATTTTAAGAGAGAGTGAGAGCACAGGAAGGGTAATGAGAGACGGAGGGATAGAGAATCCCAAGCAGTCTCCTCACTGTCATTGTGGGACTCGAACCCATGAACTATGAAATCATGACCTGAGCTGAAACCAAGAGTCAGATGCTTAACTGACCAAGCCACCCAGGCAGCCACCCTTTTTTAGAAAGATTTTTTTTTTTTAAGTCTATTTATTTATTTTGAGAGAGGGAGCTAGAGTGCAGGAGTGGGAAGAGAGAGAGGGAGAGATAGAGAATACTAGTTTCAAGTGTAGGGTTTAGTGATTTATCACTTACATGTAACACCCAGTGCTCATCACAGTAAGTGCCCTTCTTAGTACCCATCACTCATTTAACCTATCCCCCCACCCATCTCCCCTCCAGCAAACCTTAGTTTTTTCTCTGTAGAGATTTTAAAAAGGACTGAAAGCACATCTCATACTCATCAGAATGGCATTAGAGTTCTTAGAATCAATGCAAAAAGCTGTTAAGCCAACTTAAAATGCTGAGGGAAACTAAACGCAACCTGATTTCTGTAATCAGCCAAACTGTTGAGTGTGTGCATAGAATAAATACATTTTCAGATATCCTCGGTTTCCAAAGTTCATTTCCTGTGTATCCTTTGTTAAGAAGCTACCAGGACTCATGTTTCTCTAAAATTAGCTACTGAGGGGTGCCTGGGTGGCTTAGTCGATTAAGCCTCCAACTAACTCTTGGTTTCAACTCAGGTCTTGATCTCGCGGTTTCCTGAGTTCGAGCCCCACGTTGGGCTCTTCCCTGGTGGTACAGAGCCTGCTTGAGATTCCCCGTCTCCGTCTCTCTCTGCCCTTCTCTCACTCGTGCTGTTTCTGTCCCTCTTAAAATAAATAAATGAACTTCAATAAATAAATAAATAAATAAAATTAGCTACTGAATGTGAAAGGCATGGGCTTCAGATCTCAGGTGTCTGATAGAAAGGGAGTGAAAGGAATCACCAGCATGATGGTAAAAGGGGGCCCAAGATGGCAGATGTGCCGCAGGCTTCTCAGTTGGCCAGACAGGATCAGCAGCTCGTGAGGCAGAGCTGTGATTGGTAAATACCTGATGGGTCTGAATATTTTGAGAGGACATATATACAGGTGGAGAAGTTTTGGGAGTGAAATTAATAAATACATAGAAACTAAGAAAATGGGAAGAAAGGAGACAAAAGAAATATTATGTTCCATGACTCAGCTGTCAGGAGAGTTTTACATCATATAAGGGAAGGACACAGAATATGTGTGTATGTGGAATGGTCGAAGGAGGGTAAGTGTTACAGTGTATGTGTAGATGGATGCAGGAGAGAGACTTCAGCTGAAACTCTCATAGTGAGAAATCAATATACAATGTTTGAGATGAAATCTAAAATAGTAAAATAAGCTTATTAATATAAAAAGAGGTAAATACTAAAAGAATTGGCTGAAACAGTTGAAAATGTTGCTTTTGTGGAAGGGAAAATGAAGTTAAGGGGACATTAGGCACTGTTTTTTGTAGTGAGCCCTGTAGACTGTATGTGTGAAGGTGTATGTATATCATTATACAACTATGAATGTATAAAATTATGTGAAAGTATGTATAATTTTGATAAAAATATTTGTAAAAGATGGAAATCTGTAAGTTTTGCTATAGAATTGCAATAAAAATTCAAGAACTGATTATAGGAATTAATACCTAAAAATAACAAAACTACCATTATCAGGAGGTTCTTAAAATTTCGTGTATATATATATATATATATATATATTTTTTTTTAACGTTTATTTATTTTTGAGACAGAGACAGAGCATGAACAGGGGAGGGTCAGAGAGAGAGGGAGACACAGAATCGGAAATAGGCTCCAGGCTCTGAACTGTCAGCACAGAGCCTGACGCGGGGCTCGAACTCACGGACCGTGAGATCATGACCTGAGCCGAAGTCGGACGCTTAACCGACTGAGCCACCCAGGCGCCCCGAAATTTCGTATATTTTTAAGACATTTGTTTTTGGCTGTTGAGCTTTCATACAAATCAATAGCCCATTGATAGTGTTACAGATATTCCCGAAATGTCTTTAAAATGAAATTCCATATTGGAATCCTGCCTTCCAATGAACTTTTATTATTAAGTGAAAATACATAAAGTCTGAAGTTTCAGAGGTTTTTTTTTTTTAGTGAAATGTTTTTTTGTAAGAAATATTTGAATTTTTGTAGTATAGGGTAGCATGAATATTCCAAAGTAGGATTTTATACAGCAGAGATTTTTTTTCATTTTAACAGTTTTTTATTTTAAGTTGTATATCAGGTTACTTTATTCTTGCATCTTCTCAATTGCCCTATTTCTCAATTTGCCCTATTCCTTTCCTAACATGGCAAGATTTGGCTTTACGTTCAAGGATCTTTTTGTAGTCTTTGTCCAGTTTTAATCTAGTGATAACCAGTTCTCTTGGGTGAGTGCCCACAAGGACATTTGTGCCTTTTGCCTTCTCTTGCTGAACGCGTTAAATGTAAATGATGTATTTCTTCTGTAAACCTGGACTACTTTGCCAATTTGCTGACCTTTATAGTGTCCTTGCACAACCTTACTTTATCATCCTTTCGGATGGGCATGGATCGAATGTTGTACTTCTGTCTCAGCTCTTTGGAAAGAGAGGAGGATAAAATCTTCTCTGAATGTGGGGAGGTGCATTGAAATATCTTTCATGGTTCTTGCTCTGGTTAGAAGTCACAAAGGGATTGAACTTCATTTTGGCCACTGGTGCTTCAGCAGTGGCCACAAAAGGGAAGAGAGCAACAGGGATTTTTTAATAGATCGGTTTAACAACGTACATGATTCTGAGTCAGTTGTGAAGTTGGGCATTTTTATTATTCATAATTCTGTTGAAACATTTTGTGACTTGTTTGTCGATGAGCTTAATTAAGCAAACTATTAAATTTTTTTGCATGCCTTTTTAAAGTAAATGTGTGTGTATGTGTATACCTTGCTTAGGGAATAGCTTAATATGTATGGTCATTGTGTAAGAAAGTAATAATGACCTTTGTAATCTAAAAAGAATCAAATTGGGCCCCTGAGTTTAAGAGAAAACAAAGTTCTTCCATTTAGTCTACTTTCAATTGAAAACAAGAATGTTAAACTCAGAAATATTATGTTTTATATTTAACATTTTTCTTCTATACCATATTACAGAAAGAACAGAGAAGAAACAGGAATCACAGAGAAGAAAATGAGAGTAGGGAAAATAAGAGATTGAGAGTCTTTGAGATAAAACAGGAAAAGATGAAATTGGAATGTTCATAAACAGAGTTTTACTGAAAACAAGAGGGAAATAGCGGTACACAAAAAGAAGACACTATGCATATAGAAGAATTTTCATGGAGCAGTGTCACCACATACTTCTTTAATGCAATATCTATAAAATCTTATAGATGTGTATTTTTTTTTTTTTTTTTTTTTTTTTTTTTTTTTTTTTTTTAGATGTGTATTTTTTAAATTGCAGGCAGAAGTGGATATTACCTCATTAACATTTTGTGCCTTGAGTGTGGTAATAGGCTGAAAGTTCCTCTACCTTTAATTAAATTTGTCTTTTCTGATGAATTTCTGATAATTTTCTGGTGATAAATTATATAAATTAGTAACTTTTAAAAACATTAGGTATTTATCCTCCTGTACTGACTATGTATCTACTGAGTTGCCAGTACTATTAATAAAAAGGTAATAATTAAGAACTGAAAAGACACTAATAATTGGGAAAAGAAATTTTATATGCGTGTGTATATATTATATGACCTTTTAAAGTAAAACTCATTTGCAATTTTCCTGAATACAAGAAGGAATTATTTTTCAGGTTGTCTTATTTTGGTATCTTTTAGTTTCATTTTTGCATTTTTATTAAAGGTGGGAACAGAGAAAAGATCCTCATGGTAGAACCTATTACGTGGATCATAACACTCGAACAACCACATGGGAGAGGCCGCAACCTTTACCTCCAGGGTAATGTGGCATCTTTATTCATCTCCAGTTGTGTTTTATCGTACATTTGATTTCTTAAATTTATTACAACATAAAATGATTCTTTCCTTGTGCATGTTATATTTTCCTTCATTTATTTGTGAATAATGACTGTTCAGTAAATGAGATTTGTTACATTGTATCTCTTTTACTATTAGTCTGAAGGGGCTTCCTCAAGAGGTTATCAAACACTGGCATGTGTTACTATAGAGTAGCTGTAGAATTTTGGTTCAGTTTTAGTGCTTGTCATTCATTATATTTTAAGGAATGAAAAGCATATTTAGGAAAATTTATGTGTGTTCTCCAAAGGTAGTGATCTAAGCTGTATTATTTCATGAGATCTAATGACATAAGAGACGTTAGAGTAGTTCAAAGTTATGATCTAAAAGATTGCTACAAGTAAAATTATATTACATTATGGCTAAAGTTATAGACAGTCTTAAATGAATACAAATATTTCTATTACACACTATATAAATTCATGCTGTTAGGCTGTATTCACAAAATTGGTCTTCCTTTTCATTTGTGCTCTTATCTTTAATAGCTCTTCATACATATTGTGCTGATAGCTGGTTGAGTTATACTGTTTATATTCTCCTTGAACTCTCTGCCTGGACTGGCAGTATCTCCTTATTGTCTTTGCTTCTTAGAATATGTCCTTCCAGATTTAACTTAAAGTCCACTAATATAAAACACATTCAAAGTCCAGAATATTCACAAAAATACGTTATTTTTATGTGATGGTTGCTGATAGGATTCCTAAATCATTGTATAAGTTAATGGCTTATAGAAGTGTTTGTGAGAGAGGGGATGGGGGCATAATAGGAGGACCCTAGGCTTGCCTCGTCCCTCGAACATAGCTAGATAACTAAGTTAATGGCATGAATTGGCTTTAGGGTTAACTGAACCCTGGAGGATGGGGAGAACTCTGGTTGGTGGAGAAATAGGGAAGGGCATTTTGTTTTGAGGGAATATTCAGAAAAAAAAGGGATGACAAAATGAAACATACATTTGAGACCAGCAAGTAGTTGATTTGGCTATTATGTGGGCCTCTTAAAAGATCTTAGGGGAGATGAGGCTGAAATGGTGAATGGGTTCATTTTTATGCTGTGCCGGAGAGCCATGACAGGTGGAATGACATGATTCGATCTGCATTTGTGTTCAGCAGCTGTGTAACAGCAGGATGTTGAAGACCTGTAAGAACTGAGTTACAATCCTGAATGTAGGCAGTGGCTACAGGGACAGATTACTAGGTATATAGTAAGCGCTCAGTAACTTATCAAGAAAAAGAGGGTGGTCAGATTGATACAGAGACTGTTCAGTCTTTGGCCCCCTTTTTAGAAATCATGTAGTGGTAGAATGGGAAGATAATTTACCTAAAAAGCAAGTTACATGTTTGTAATTTCTCTGAAGAATATCAATGTTCACATTTTTTTGAAGTTGTTTGCTCATGTCTCAGACTTGATTTTTAAATCATGTGAGTTAGGTGTTAACTAATTACTTTCCAGTTTCTTATATTAAGACATTCTCTTGCTTACTTTTTATTAATGCTTATCCTGTGGTAGTTGGGAAAGAAGAGTTGATGATCGTGGAAGAGTTTATTATGTGGATCACAACACCAGAACAACAACCTGGCAGCGGCCTACCATGGAGTCTGTTCGAAATTTTGAACAGTGGCAGTCTCAGCGGAACCAATTGCAGGGAGCTATGCAACAGTTCAACCAACGATACCTCTATTCGGTAATTAGCACATTGTACGATATCAACACAACTTTTTCCTTCAGGCATTTGCTCTTTTCGACTTTGGTGGTTTTTAAATGTTACAGACTGCATTGCAAGACATTTTTTATTTACTCTTTAATAAGATATAAGTATTTCTGGTACACATACACAATTTAAGCTTTTTTTTTTTTTAATTCTAGTTTACTAACATTAAGTACATACTGTTTTTGTCTTTACTAAATGGTAGTTTTCATAAATGAATTTCTTAATGAAATAATTTGTCTTTACTAACTCCCCAATCCTCCACCTTTAATTAGAATCATTTTGCTTGCTTTAAACCAAACCAGTTACCTCCTGATTTTACTTAAGGCCAGTCTTGCCATTTTCCAGCTGTTCTCATTCCCATCTCAGAATCTCAGAAACAACACTTTCATGTGTTTTGGCCTACCGAAGATATTCCTGGGGTTGGAGATGGTTTTGTCCAAAAAATCTAATGCTGTCTGAAAATTTGACCAATTGATGGTTCATTTATTGCTGTAAACAAACATCTACAAGAAGACTTGGGGTAGTGGGTAATCTCTGTTAAATAGATTTGATCACAGGAAGTGGAAAATACAAATTTTAAGTACTGGGCCTCTCTGGATAGTGTTTTGAGGCAACTTGAAAACCCAAAATGTGGAGGCTAGCAAATAGGAATTAGGGAAGACACAAAAAGAAAACCTAAATAACTTTTTTTCAGAATCCTGCCTCAGGCTGGCTCTTTCAACTCCCATTTTCTTCAGAGATTAAGTAATAAGTTCTCATTTGCAGTCTGACCCACTCACCTGGTTTTCTGTGGCCAGCAGAGAGGGACAGGGCCAGCCCAGCCTTCATAGCGTCTCCTGCTGCCACCAGTTTCTGGTCCTTCGGTAACTTGTACAGAAATCTGTGCTAAGGTTTCACTGTTCAGCTGTATGTAGTAAACAAGAAATTATGTACTTTGTGCTTTTGTACATTATGTACTGTGTGCTTTTGCTGTCTGTATACATGAAAACCTTAGGGAAACAGGGCAAAATTAGGTCAGAGGGATGTATTAGAAATGTGTTCTCCTGCATAGAACACCTTTAAACAGATTGAGATGTAATTATCTAAGTATATACAAGTCTGGGGTGAAAGTCCAGAGCTAACACTACATTGGCTCAGTAATGCCACCTGGTACCCAGGTTCTTGGTACATCCTTATCATGCTTCATGCTTCATGCTTCACCTTTATCATACAGAGCTGTTGCCCTTTGGACTTCATTCTCTGTTGTAGGCAAGAAGAAAGGGAAAGGGGAATGAGAAGGGCAGATGACTTTTATCTAGTAAGCCCTGCCTTTTTGCTTGGAAAGGGATGCCCTTACCAGGGACTTCTGACAGTAGCTCGCTGGCCAGAATTGGTCATTCTACCAACCCAGCTGGGAATGGAATACTAGATGGATATATTTCTGCCTCGAAGAAAACAGTGGTTTGGGTGTCAAGGAGGGAGGAGTGGGAAATTGATACTGGGTAAAATTAACTGTTATAAGGTTATAAAATATGTATCATTTTATCATATACTTTATCATTAAGAAATAATTTTTCAGGTGATAGTTTTTGTATTTGTCATTCTTACAGTATGTAAGCATGAATGTGTTTTGTATATGAATACACAAAAGATGCTAATACTAAAAGTATTTGTATAAAGATGATACTGGATTTTAATATTGGTTTTATTAATAGGCATTTGTTGAAAAAAATTTTTTTAATGTTTGTTTATTTTTGAGAGAGAGAGGCAGAGCACGAGTGGGGGAGGGACAGAGAGAGAGGGAGACACAGAATCCGAAGCAGGCTCCAGGCTCTGAGCTGTCAGCACAGAATTAGGCATTTGTTTTAAAAAGAACTGATTAGTATTGTATTTCTAAACAAGTAGTTTTCATTTAAACACAATTTTCTATATGCTCTTCTCTCATTTCACTCCTGTAGATTATTATGGAAGGGCTAAGAAATTAAAATATTGATGTCAGTATTAGTTATTTCTAAGTCATCTTTAAAAAACTAGTAATTTTATCAACTGATTGACTCCTCGTAACTCATGACATGTTTAAATGTACTTTGTGTCTTGAAATGACTGTATTCACGTTCCTTTATCATTTTTTAGAAAATTATTATAAAATGTGGTTCTATCAAGTATTCGGTTTATCTCTGCTTTTATATTAAAGTACTGTTCTTTTTTT